CAACTACTGTTTAAGATATTATAATATATATAGTAACAATTTGCCGGTAAAGGAATTTGTAATTAATTCCTTTTTTCCGCAGTAATTTTTTCATTGACTTAATTACAATTTAGAACAAGTAATTGTAATCGGGAATTTATTACATTTTAAAGCAAGTAATTGTAATTGGAATTAATTCCTTTTTCAGTGGTAATCTTGCAGCCCTGGGTTTACAATTATCACAGCATCTATGAATACTATCGTAACAAGCGGAAATTGCAGAAATTGGTTTTTATTTCGCTGGAAATGGTGGAAACGAACACCGCGGGGAAACATCTGCCCATGCCAAATTGTAAACTTTTAAAAACATTGCTATTTAATTATTTAAGGTAATTGAAACAAACTAAAAAATACATTAGACGGGTAGTTTAGATATTAATAAAAAGTTTTCTAACATTACAGTAAAAGTCTAAAAAGAAACAGAATTTAAATTAAAAATTACCGTTTAAATTAAGACCAGGAGGCGTGTAACATTTCTTGAAGAATTGTCGAATACCGAACTTATAAACCTACGTAAAACATCTTTGTATGGTTCAGTTAAAGAACGTTTTATACAATAAATTTCTCGACAGTCACTTTTGGTTTATTTTCATGCATAAACTACTTCTTGCATATGTATAGACTATATATAATTATTTCTACTTTTTAGGTTGTCACGTTCATTATTCCGCTTGCATTTTCGGGCAAAACATCGAAGTCGCTCCTTGCCGCTTCCATTTTGAGTTTTTGACAACCATTTTGAGTTTTCGACAGTTTTTATTTTGTTCATGTACATGTATCTTTTTCTTATTTGTAGCATATGTAGAAGAAGGTCACCTGTTGGTGCACACAAACTGCGAGGCAGCGAGGCAATGGCAAGCCCGCGAGGCATGGGACTGATGCGAGGAAGGCTGCGAGGCATGTGAGGCAATCCCGTGAGTCCTGACGGGCCTTTTTTTCTACTGCCCTTGGGCCATTGGTTTCCCTTGGTTTGAATGCATTTCCAAATTACCCAGAAATTCGTTTATAAAACCTTATCGAGTTTGTATGAACGTATATAGTTTTTCAATTGACAGATGAACAACGCAAAATAGTTAATATTCCATAATTTTTAGTGAAGCTTGTCACTTGTTGGGATATTGTCTAGGTTAATGTTTACTTTTTGACGTTTTGACTGGAGTGCTGTAGTTATTTAAAACTATAATGTATAGACAGAACTGTTATTAAAACTAGAATGTCGTTCACATTTGTCCGTTGTCCAGCGTCAAGTTAAGTATGTTCAATATGTTAAATATCGTCAAATTTTGGAGTCGGTATAAAGCTATGGCTGATGAAAGTGTGAGAGAATCCAGCGATTTTGAAAAGCATTACACACTCAACGTTGGTTCGGCTAACGTAGAAGAGTGTAGTCGAAGTCTGATTATTACTAACAAAGGAAGTTTTAAATGATCTGGAGAATTTGAAGCTTTACAAACGCTATTTGATGATATCCTGAAGAGCCAGACAAGTTAGTCAAAACCGGGTGGTAGCTGTAGAAAATTGGAAGCTACAGACCAGTTAATAGTAAGATGGTATTCTGATAGTCACTCACTTACACTTAACGGGAGTAAAGACGAAGAAATTAAAACTTGTTTGCGAGAATTAGCGAAGGAAGCAATAGACCATGAAATGAATACATCAGATAGTAGCTTTGAAAATCAAGACGACTCTCCATACCAAATTAAGTTTGATGGAGAGGACAAATCATTGGAAAGTCAAGCCGATGTCTCAGCCAAAATTACTGCAGACGATCTGACAATGATCTTGGAAAAAATCGAGAAAATTGAGCAGAAACTAGAACGCAAAATTGATGATATATCTCTCGAAGTATGCAAATTTCGGGATGCCGACAGCTTTGCATTAACATTGTCACGAGAGCATATCTCTTTTATTAAAGATGAAAATGTACAGCTAAAAGCGGAAAATGTCTACTTAAAAAAAGAACTGGAAAATGCTACTCTTGTAATGTCGGATCTCAACGAGCATGTAAAGTTGATGGGAGAAGAAAAACAGAGCTTAATTACTGCATTAAAAATTCTGCAAAACAATGAAATTGATGATGGCAGGAACAAAAGATGGCATATTGCATCGGATAGAAAACAACCGAAGGTCCCACAATTCAAACCAATCGAAGTATCAACTGACAGTGAAGACAATTATCTTTCAACAAACAGATATTCGGAACTTACAGATGAAGCCCTATTAAACGAGCAACAACTCGAAGAGACATCCCAAAAAAACGAGCAACAAATTAAAGTGATATCCCAGCCAAGGACTAACCAAACAAACATGCACTGTAAATCTGGGAGTGTTACCACAACACCGAAATCGGTGTAAATTCTTGCAGCTGTGTGGACACCGATTTAGTGTTTACTTACACTCATTTTGGTGTTAAAATACACCTTTTCAGTGTTAAATAGATACAGCTGTGCGAACACCG